CATGCCTGAGGGCAGGCTTGGCAGCCAGCAGCTCCAGGGTTCGGAGCCCTCTTTGGTGTTCCTGCCTGGCCCCAGGCATACAGCCCGGCTCCAAACCTGCTTCCCAGCAGTCAGAGGGAACAGGGGTTGGCTTGGGCATGGGCAGGTTGCGAGGTGCTATGGAGAGGCAGAGCAGCCAGCAGCAGCACTGCACCTGTGTCAGTCAAGCCCCTGCCCTTGTTCTCCTGCCGATTTGCCCTCTCAGGAGGCAGCAGGGGAGCTCCGAGCCTCCGCATCAGTTGGAGAAGAGACTCAGCATGGGGGAGGAGAAGCGTCCTTTTAGCGCTCCATAAAGCAGGAGTGTTGCTGAAGCTGTGGAGGTCTGAGGACACAAGTGAGGGCAGTTTGCTGCAGAGGGAATAGATGCCAACTGGTAGACCTGGAAATGGCAAGCCTTGGGCAAATAGCCTCTGCGTGGGCTTGTCTCCTTCCACCTCTGTCAGCCTAGTGAGAAGTCTTTACCGGCAAGCCTTGCCAGTTAATCAGGCCTCGGTTCATCTCTTTCTACTTCTGTGTGGTTCCAGTATGTGGAAAGTCCCAGCTTCGATCGTCGCAGCCTGGACCCGGTGTCTCTGCTGCGTCAGACCATGTCCGGGCTGGCACACCTCCACTCCCTTAGCATCGGTAAGAGGGCAGCACCCCACCGCCACGCACAGGCAAGAGGGCAGTGTGTCCCGTCTTGGTCCCGTCCTCAGCCGAGGCTGTGGGGTTCAGGCAGCAGCTGTCAGGGTCAGCAGCATGCGGGGCAGCAGGCAGAGCCCTTTTCTGCTTCAGCCCTGCTGCCGCGTTGGCAGGTGACGCTGTGCACTCTGTCTTCCAGTCCATCGTGACCTGAAGCCGTGTAACATCCTCATCTCTGTCCCAAATCGCCACGGGCAGATCCGAGCCATCATCTCTGACTTCGGCCTCTGCAAGAAGCTTCAGGGGGGACGACAGAGCTTCAGCCTCCGCTCCGGCATCCCTGGCACGGAGGGCTGGATCGCACCTGAAGTGCTGCAGGAGGCCCCGAAGGAGAACCCCGTCAGTGAGCCACGAATGCCTTCCCTCGCCTAGGGTCCTCCTTGAGCTTGTCATGGCAGTCCCCCATGATGGCAGTGGCATCGCAGCATGCTGCTGAAATGCACAATGAAGACAAAAGCTCCAAGAGCCCAAGCCAGCCCAAATGCAGAGCATTGGTGCTCTTTGCCAGGACCACCTTAGTCAGCAGCTGCCCCTGCTCTCCTGCCCTGGTGGGGACAGTGCCCAGCTGTGTTCAGCACAGGGAGTGTCATCTGGCTACAGTCCTTGGAAATTTGGGGTGGGGAGGCCGGAGGGAGCCGTGGCTCACTGCAAAGGTTACACTTCTGCTCATCTGTGTAGCCCAGGGAATCCTGTTCCTGCTGGAAGCAGTTGTACTGGTACCTGGCAGGGCACATACTGGTGCTGGCAATGCGCGCCCCATAACTTCGTACTGGGGCTAGTTTGCACAGCTGGGTGAGACACCAGCAACCCTGGCATGTCTGTCTGGCCGTGAAGTCCTGACTTCTGTCTGTGCCTCTGAAAACCTCTTCCCTGATAAGGAGCCGATGTGATGAGTGCTTCACTGGCTCCAGAAAGCAGGGCAGGTGTGATGCATTTTCCAGCAGCTCTGTAGGAAATGACCAAACATTCACATGAAAGAATGGAAAAGTGGGGAGGTGAAAGCTTTCCTCACCCTTTGCTGTGAGGGTCCCATCTCCCCCTTTGTGTTTTACAGACATGCGCTGTGGACATCTTCTCAGCCGGCTGCATCTTCTACTATGTGGTGTCAGGAGGGCAGCACCCATTTGGGGACAGCTTGCGGCGACAGGCCAACATCTTGTCGGGCTCTTACCAGCTGAGCTGCCTGCAGGAAGAAGCTCATGGTGAGACCCTTTCCCACAGGCATGTCCCCACGGGGAAGCCCTGAGCCGAGGGGCGCAGCTCCCAGTCCTTCTTGTAGGGGTTAGCTCTCTGGTGTGTTGTTTCGCCTACCAGACAAGCTTGTTGCGCGAGAGCTGATTGCGACGATGATCAGCCCCGAGCCCCAGCGCCGGCCCTCGGCCCCCATGGTCCTTGTGCACCCCTTTTTCTGGAGTCCAGAGAAGCAGCTGCAGTTCTTCCAGGTGAGCGTGCGCCATCCCACCGGGCAGCGAACGTAGGTGTGCTCTGAAACACAAGTGCTGGAAACAGCTGTATTCAGGGCAACATGCTCATTTTTAGCTGCTTTTGCAAGGGGTGGGGGGGGTCCCTAGTTTTGGAGTCGGGGCCAAACCCTCTTCCCCCCCTCCATTGGCGCTGGATGGGGTGGTGTGGGGTGAGAGCAGTGCCATACCCGCCTCGTCCCTGCTCTTGGGCACGCAGGACGTCAGCGACCGCATTGAGAAGGAGCCTGCCGAGGGGCCCATTGTCTCAGCCCTGGAGGCAGGGGGACGGTCGGTGGTGAGAACCAACTGGAGGATGCACATCTCCCTCCCGCTGCAGACAGGTGAGCGCATGGGGGGCCAGCGCTGCAGCCTGAGCCTCTGCCACCTTTCGGGCAGAATCAGGCAGGGAAGGGGGTTCCCGGGTCTGGTGTCCTTTACTGGGCAGGAGGCACCTTCTCATGCCTAGGAGCTGAAAACCAGGGTGGGTAAACGTGCCAGCCCTTTCTTAGGAGGGCAGAGCAGTGCCTGGGTTTGCCGCAGGCTGCAGCGCTCACTGTGCACACCCCGGGGCAGCGCCAGGGGCTGTGGCAGCCCTGTGCCCCTTGCCCCGGCCATGTCCCCCATCGCTCAGCATCTCTCCTGCTCTCCCCAGACCTGAGGAAGTTCCGCACCTACAAGGGGGGCTCGGTGCGTGACCTCCTGCGGGCCATGAGGAACAAGGTATGGCCCCCCCCAGCTCCCCTGCACCCCCACTGCCCGCCCGCCCCTGCTTACCTTGCCCTCTCTCCTGCAGAAGCATCACTACCATGAGCTGCCGGCTGACGTCCAGGTAGCCCTGGGCTCCGTCCCCGATGGCTTTGTGCAGTACTTCACCTCCCGCTTCCCCCGGCTGCTGCTGCACACGCATGGGGCCATGAGGGTCTGCGCCCACGAGCGGCTCTTCAACTCCTACTACTGCCAGGGACCGGGAGGCGACAGCAAGTGAGCGGGGACATGGGCCAGGACAGCACCCACGGTGTGAGCCTGCTGGTGCCACTCTTCCCTGCCCGTACCCGCAGCCCCATCTTGCAGCAGCTGGGAGCAGCCCCGGGGGCTCTCCTGCGTCCTTTTCCCCCCTCCCCAGGGCGAGGTGGAGCCCCAGGACCGGCTGGTCACCCTGTGCACACGTGGGTTACAAGCAGCACGGTCCAGAAGCGAGCATAGGGTGGCACTGGGCTCTCACCTGAGCTCGAGGGACCCTCTGAACACCCAGCTTTGCGAATGCTCACAGTCAGACTCCGTGGCCTGAAGGCATTTGTGTCGGAGAACAAAAAAAAAATTCTCTGCAGCGGACACGGTGTTTGAGAAGAAAGAAGAAAAATGCACGTTGGCTTTTCCCGAGGGCAGCCAGCAGAGCAATGCACTGGCAGAGTGATGCAGCTGGGCTGGGGTTAGGTCCCAACAGGGCATTCACCAGGGATCTGCGGGTTTTGTCCTTCCGTGCGACGTGGCTGGGAAAGCTGCTCTCTGAGCATGCGTCCCACATGGCTGTGACCAGGACTGATACCCCAGTCTTGACACTGGAGACGATCCTTCAGCCCCACCAAGGGCTGAGGCACAGCAGGTCAGCTTTCAGCAGCCACCCCAGGGCTTGGACCTGCTATTTGTATCAGGGCTGCTGAGGGCAAGGTGCCACCAGCCCCGGAGGGAGGCATGGGGCCTCCAGCACAATCCCAGTAATGAAGTTTTTAATCTCAGCTGAGAAAAAAGTTTTCTCCCTTTTGGTCACCAGCAGCCTGTCATTATGCCAGGCCAGAGCCGCCATGTCAGTCCTGTGCCCAGGAGCCCCGAGCAGTTTGCACAGCAGCACAGCTGTTCAGGAGCAGTTGTCTCAGGACACAAAGGCAGGGAAACCCCTTCCCCCCAGGGATCCCTTTCCTCTGAATTCCATCTGTGCCTGCAGCTCCCACAGCCTCTCCTGCTGCCCAGGGCAGGTGTCCCATGGGACACTATTTCACAGCATCCCCCGGGCATGTATTTCACACAAGCCAGCCTCCAAGTGCAGCACCCCCTGGGTCCGCAGGCAGCCTGGGAACCCCCGACGAGGCTTCCTCTGTGGAACAGCAATGATTTTGTACAGTCTGATTCCTCTGTGTGCTGGGATGTGGGATTTTGTTACACAGGTAACAAAGGGTTTGTACCTGGTTTGTTTTCAGAATACTGTATGGCCTGGAGCATTTTATACAAAATATTATAAAAAATTAAAAACTAAAAAGCTTGTCCTGCTTAAAAATAAACTGGCCCGAGAGCGGCAGTAGGCGCTGGCAGTCAGCAATGGTGGGAGAAAACCCAACATAGCGTACTAGGCTCCTGCTGAAGTCCACCACAGTAGACGACTTCTTAATTCTATACTCACATTTTTGAGCATCTTTCACATAGTAGAGAGAGCCAATCAAACGGGAAATGAGGAGGTAGGGCTGTTAGCCTCCAGGTTAGAGCACACCTCCTGTCATACCCCCAAGGTCTCCTCTCCTGCAGCACAGCTGGGGAGACCAGCACACTCAAGCAGACAGCATGAGCCCCTGAAGATGACAGCTCTTGCCTGGAGGGGAAGCCAGAGGCAAGGTGCTGCTCTCTCCCTCACAGCAAGCCAAAGGGAACGATGACAGGCTGGACGCTGCAGCGAACAATCTTTAATCAAGTTATGCAATATACAAAAGTTCAGGTTCTGTGTAGATTAATTTCAGTATTAAAAGGCTGATTGCTCAGTCTTACCCTGGGCATGTTAAATATCTTACCTGAATTTCTACAAAAGGAAACAAAAGCCTAGAGCATCAGCACAGCCATGTACAAATAACTTACATGATAGTTCTGCTCTCCCTGTGCTTTTTTTCTCTTGAGAGAAGGCCCAGGAGCCTCAAACAAGAGGGTTGGTTTTTGAGTCAGGCTTTTGGCTTTGGGAAGTTAGGGAAAAAAAAAAAGACTAGGTATGCAATTAAAAAATAGACTTTCTATTAGGGTCGGGAGCAAGAAACCTTTGGGTATCAGCCAGAGTGAACAATGCTGTTCCCACAGCATCGGGGGCTTCCTTGTGGCAACTAGGCCATACCCAGAGTGGGAGCCCAGCTATGTGATGGGAGGTTACAGTGCGAGCAGGGATGCTACTAGACCTCGCCATCCACAGCTGGGACAGTTTGGCACAGATGTTGAGTCCATCGAGAACAAGGTCTAAGCAGAGGGTTTCACACGGGCTGAGCCAGACTTTGAACTGAGGAGTTTCTCCACCATGGTGCGAGCATAGCGGAGCCGGCTGGCCAGCTCCTTGCAGCATCCGTGTTCCTCAATGAGGCTCAGCTTGTACGTGCGGAAGTCCCGTTTCTCATCTATGTATGTGACAGCAGCCATGAGAGGGCACAAGATGACTTTGGTATGGTCCTGTGGGGAGAAAACACACCGTCACCCTGAGCACTCTGCTCCTTGGGGACTGCATTTCCTCAGGATGAACATCCCTAAAGTAGCTGGGGCACCCCAGCTGCACCCAGAAGCATGCTGACAAAGCACCATGCTGCAGCATGCGTTCATAGATTGCAGCAAAGGGAGCAAATCAATCTGGCCAGCCAGTTCAAGACCACTGCACCTAAGACTGTGCAGCAGCCTCCCTCCTGCTAAAGGACACAGCCCCTTTACAAGCTAGGAGTGTCTGAGTGGCTCACGTACCAGCAAGGGGAGTAAGGAGCCTCCCAGCGCTTGGTTCACTGGGCAAAGTTTTGACTCAGGTTTATATCCTCCTGCTGCCTTGCATACAGCCCGGGAAAACACAGAGTAGTGGCCTCACCTGGAAAAAGTTGATTTGCACAGTGCCATTGCTGAGGTGCAGGATGATGGCGCTGCGGGTCCGGAACCACGTGCAGAGGTAGGGTAAACGGGCCAGCTCGTCTCCTTCCCGTGGCGTGATGTTTGCACCTGCCTTCAGCAAGTGCTCGCTCATGTAGTTCCGGAAGTATTTCAATAGTGTTATCTGCAGACAGGAAAGGCTGTGAGCAGGCAGGCTGAGGATGACCCCTGCTATCTGGGGAGGGCAGAGGCTGCTATCACAGTCCCAGAGCCTCCTTACATCTTTCAGAGCTTGAGGTGTCACTGTGCAAATTCTCATACTCAAAGTTAACTCGGTCTGTGATACTTGAGACTCACTTTGCTGAACCCTTGGGTACAGGTAAGTCTTGTGAGCACTTAATTCTGTGAAGCTGCTAATAAGTGAGCCTCAGATAGCAACTAGAAATAAACAGAGCTGCTAGTGTCTGTCCTTGGGGCCATGTTTTACCAGCCAAAAGGAAGCCTGCAGAATGCCAGTGATCCCAAGTCACAGATGATCCTCTCTGGGACCCACCCTGCCAACGAAACCCAACAAGGCTGAAAGAAGCTTCACCAGGAGTAGTCACCCCCCAGCAAGGGCTCCTGTCCCCCAGGACTGACCTTCTTGTTCAAGGCAGAGGGGTAGGACCTCACAGTGAAGTAGGACTCGGTGCTGTTTTGCTCAATGTACTGCAAGCTGTCCCCATCGTTGTACATAATAAGACGAGTGGAGTCGTTGAAGAGAACTCCAACACTGTTGTCACACAGCTGGTAACCTAGTTCAAAAGGGAGCCCATTAGGCCTTCAAATGCATGGGAACACCAGTTGTGTGAAATACAAAGGCAGAAGGTTGTGTCATCTAGGGGTTCCCTGACAGCCACCCCACCAAGTCTAAAGATTCTCCTCTCTGTGGAGGTCTGGGTGGCATCTTTCCTCCTCTGGATTTGTCATCCTCCCTTGTCACATCACCTGCTGCAGAAGCAACTTTAGCTGCCACAGTGGGTACACATGCTCACTGCAGAGCGAGGCCAGCCATCTCACGCAGCAGGTAGCCATTTTCCACCTTAAAGTGGCTAGGGCTGACGTTCAGTGACCACTAGTCTGGATTCACTGGGTATTTGGTAACGTTCCCGGTGGTGGTCTTGCACACACAGACTGGAATACTGTGATTAAAGAACCAGGGCTGTGCAATGCCCAAATCAAAGCTTTCCCCAGCCTCTTCAGAAACTAGAAAAGGCTGAAGTCTTGCCCCCATATTATTTACCTAGACCATATTTATCTGAGTAGTCCACCCATTTGCTAACCCAGAAGATGGGAATGCAGGCTGGGTCTTCAGCTTCTTCTGCAAAGAGGAAAGGAGTTTGTTAGAAGACATTTCACAGCATCCTGTGCACCCCAGCAAGCGAGCAAGGCCAACAGGAAGGTAAGTAGCTACTACATCACTTCTCAGCCTTCCAGTTTGAAATGGTCAGCTGGTCTCTCACTTCAGACAACAGCATCAGAGTGACAGAGAAGCAAGTTATCCAGGAAGGCCAGTGCCCATGGGATTGTCCCCAGACTCACCTTGTCTAGCTGCCACTCTCTCAGAGGGCTTGGCCGAGTTGACTGCAGTCAGCTGCTGTAACATGTCAGCTAAGTGACAGTCAACAGCATCTCCCAGCTCCCGCAGCCCAGCTACGTCTTCCTTTTCAGGCAAGTTCTCTAGTGCAGGGCTGTCTGGTCCTGGGCCAGGAAAGAGAAGAGCAGAGGCGTGACCAGGGAGTAGGTTTCTAAAGGCACCAGGTCTACATTCTACCCTAGCTTTAAGAAACCCATTGTATACCATATAGCTAAAGCTAGCACTTCCTCCCTGCTTTGGTTCTGGGCAAAGAGCGAGGAGACCTCCCTCTCACTCACAAAATGCTCCAGGTTTTCATAAGAATTGGGAGAAGAGGTGAGGGAGCACCACATTCCCCACTGATGGTTCTGGAGGCCAGGCAGGCTCTCATCCAGCACTGCAGTCCAGCCTCACCTCCAGACGCTTGCACTTACCTTTGTTAAGCGCAGTCAGCGGCTTTCGCCCGTTCAGTTCAAGTCCACTGGGAGCAATTGAAAATCTAGGTGCAACGGTGAGACAGCTGGTGGGCAAGCGGCTGGGGATGTACCCCGACGTGAAGAACTCATCATTCAGCAACTCGTCGATAGTTGGGCGCGTGGCAGGATCAGACCTCAGCATCTTCTGGATGAGGTTAGCAGCTACAGGGTTGATATGCTAAGAGGAGACAGGAGACAGAGAGACAAGGGTCAGGGGACAATGTGCACGAGTGGCAAATGCATTGGATATACAACCCAAGGGAGGTTCTGCTTGGAGCAGAGCTCCTGTGCTGCATCAGGCAAGCAGGATGCAAGCCTAGGGAAACAGAATTGAGCAGGCATGGAGAGCTGTCTCCCAACAGCATGAAAAGCCTGAAGTCAACAAACTTTAGCAAGATCAAATCAACAGCAGACCTCATGGACTTGAGCTCCCCAAGAGGAAGTTGGCCCTACAGGTTCACTCTACCACCAACGAACTGAAACATCCCCTTCGTAGCACTCTACAATAAGAACAATTTCACCATTATGTGAGACCCCATTCAGCACCAGAAACAGGAAAGTGCAGCAGAAGGCTGACCAAGAACTGCTGCGAGATGAACAGATCTACCCATGGGAAGCACCATACCTTGGGAATGGTATATTCGTTCTTCTTGATTCGGATATACGTTTCTTTTAGACAAGAAGTTTCAAAAGGTGGTTTCCCCACCAGCAGAGTGTACCTGCGCATTTACAAACAAAAGGGCATCAGTTTTATAAAAGAGACTCCGAAACTTGTGTGCAAAAGTGACCCTGTCCTAAAAACACCCTGGGACTTTCCCGGCAGAGGGAACACACTTAGCATTGGACATGCAGTAGTGCAGACAGCTATGTGTACCATGCCTGGTTCCTGCCCCCTGAAAAGGGAAGCTGGGATCTAGTAACCTCTGGGGAAAGTTCCAGTTAGGAAGCATGGGCTTTTGGGAAATTCCTCAAAACAGCCATGCTGCGTAGCAGATCAGCCTGCAGACACACACGCACCAGCGTGTGCGGAGCATGGGGGAGGTCTTGTGCTGGCTAGCAGCAGGGCTCAGCCAGGGCAGATGCTCTGGAGACAGAGCGCCCAAAGCTTTGGCTCGCACCGAAACCCATAGGGTCCAACAAGACCTGGACCGCTGGAACCATCCAGCCCCACGTCCAACCTGCGGCACGGCCACACAAAGGCATTTTGACTCACATGATGCAGCCGATGGACCAGATGTCCACCTCAAAGCTGTGCCCCTTCTTGCCCAGCACCTCTGGGGCAATGTAGTTGGGGGTCCCACACAGGGTCTTCTTGCGCTCACCATCGTACTCCACTTTGGTGGCCAGGCCAAAGTCACCTGGGAGAGATAGGGAATGACTGGAGATACCCTGGACAGCTGGTCCCCAGGGCTGGAGTCCCTGCCCTGGGGCAGCCACGGGGGGCTGGCAGGAAGGGCATCACATCACGGGCACCTACCGATCTTCACCTCCATGTCGTCGCTGAGGAAGAGGTTGCCCAGCTTAAGGTCCCGGTGAATGACGCGGTGGCTATGCAGGTACTGGCAGCCCAGGATGGTCTGGCGCAGGTAGTAACGCACCTCGGGCTCACTCAGCGCCTTCCGCCGCTTGTGCAGCTCCAGCAGCGACTGCGGGGGACGGTCAGCACC